GAGTCGACCTAGGTACCTAAACCGGGTGTAGGATTCGAACCCACACCTTGAGATTGGTAAACGAGAGTCTGTACCTCTATGCCACCGGGCACCATATAAACGAAAAAAAAAACATATAAAATACCATACGAACGAAAAAAAAACGGCATTAAAAACTGCTGAGAAATCACAAACGATGATAATTTTGGCGAGGTCAAACCCTAAACGTCATTACTTGACCCGTACTATTCTTCACCTTTTAATGGCACTTAATGCCAGTTGACCTTAAGAAGGTTGTAATTCATATCTATCTTCTTCTGAGTGTGCCGCCTATCCGTTCCGGATGATGACGATAAGCAAAACGATTCGAACTTTACTGGCTGCTGCTCAAGATAATCCTACTGTATGAAGGGAAAACCAAGTTCTTAGGTTGAGACCATGTCTCTTTTGGTTCCTCACTATGTGTCCCAGATATTCTAATTTCCGTTGTTTGATAATGTCTACTATTTCGTTCTCAACTCTTCATTTCCAAAACGGTATTGTTGGATACATGGTCTACCCAGCAGATTATCAGAAGTCGCCTGTATAGCCACATCTCAAAGGCTTCAAGTTTTTTTGTGGATGCTTCTGTCAATGTCCAGGACTCCCCCTCCTTTACCATACAGGAGCACAGATCAGACATAACACTTAAGTAGCCTCAGTTTTGTCTGTAAATTAAGATCCCTACTCTTGGACAATTTTCCCATTCTAACGAAAGTGGCCCTTGGTTTCTCTATGCTGCTATAGAAAGTAATAATGATAAACTGAGGATTTAACAGGATGAATAAGTTTAAGAATTAATATTGATGGCGAATTGATAAATCATCTCTGTTTTGTTGATGATGAGAATAACAGATAACATACAGGAGGCACAGAATATGGTGGATATACTGAATGATGCTTCGAAAAAAGTCGATTTGAAAATTAAAATATCAAAGACACAATACATGACAAACCTAGTACTGAGTGGAAATTTATACATTAATAAACTAACCTAACCATACCTTTAGAACAAGTGCATATATATAAATACTTAGGGCATGAGATCGGTATTAGAAGGATAATCAAACCCACGAAATTCTACGAATAATAGGTTTGTCGTGGGCGGCATTCGGTAAATTAAAGCATATACTGAGATCTGATCTTCTCATATGTTTAAAAAAGTTCCCATATGTGTAAAAAAAGATCTTTAACCAGTGTGTGTTACCTATCCTCACTTATGGAGCTGAAACACTTACTTTGACAAAAAAAAACATACATAGAATATAGGTCATGCAACGGAAAATGGAAAGGTCCATGTTGGGAGTTACACTTAGATATAAAATACTCAATCATACAATACGAAATTGAACAGGAGTAAGAGATGCGGTGATATCTGTCTTACATCTTAAATGGAATTGGGCAGGACATGTGGCTAGGATGACAAATGGACAGTGGAAAAAGAGACTTGTGGAATGGAGCCCAAGACTCCTAGTCGATGGACAGATGATATTAAGAGGGTGGCTGGAAACTGGATTCAAGTGGCACAAAACAGAAGGAAATGGCTAGAGTTAAGGGAGGCTTTTGTTCAGCAGTGCACGGTATAAGCTAAATGATGATGATGATGAGATTTAGGAAGAAATATTTTTTTGGAAATAGGTTTGTGTGGCTGGAAACGTTCTATCCTTTTATAATTCTTCTATAAGTAGTGGTATTTTTGACAACTTTTATGTCAGCTTTTAGTGAATGACGTCTGGAGACTGACCTAGCCAAAACTATCATCGATTATCGATATGATACAGTATAATTTCGGAATATTTATTAAAATATAGAAAAATTAAATTTACTCTTTCTCTAATTACTACCTAATCTCTAAATAGTCTAAATGAAGTAATTTGCCAGTTTTTCCTGAGCTTAGAAACTAACGGAAAAGGGAAAGTAAAATCAGTTTTATTAAAAAAAAAGAAAATACAAAAATTAAAGGATTAGCCAATCTCTAAATAAAGTAATTTACTTGTTTTGTCCAAACTTAGAGACTACTGAAAACGTGAAACAAGAAATAAAATCCGGAAATCAATTTTGTCTTTTATAACCCGCCAATAATCTCTATTAACCCCAAGTTTAGAAAGCAATAAAACAACCTCCATAAAGGCAAATAACTTCTGAAAAACTAAATTAAGCGCAGCTTAACAAACATATCTCTTAGATAAACTGAGAGTTAAACGTGTGGTAAAATAAAGAACGAACAGGGGAAGGACGACGCTCGGCTAACAACATGTTGATAAGTATTCGATGCGGAGGGAAATCCTATTGAAAATCCAGCGGCGTATCGTTGAGTATTAATTAAGTTTATATACAGTGTCTGTCAAGATAAATTAAAATCGAATTTAAAACATTGGCAGAAAAATGTTTGTGACATATTTAATTATGAAATAAGTGAGAAATATACACTCAGATGCAAAAAAACGCAACGGGACATTTTTTCGCCAAGTTTAAAGTTTTATATTCTTTTTACTTTTATCACTATTTTCATAATTTTTTGCAAACTGCATATAAATCTATCAACTTTATTTCACAATTATACAGGGTTAATTGAAGGGTTGTTTTTTTACCCCAAATTTAAAACACCCTGTGCAATAATTTCGTGAGTAACTTTTCCTAAAACATTATTTTTCGATCAGAACCATATCTCCTAGGCATTTTATTTTTTTGACTCATGCAACAATGATTAATTTTTAAGAGCGAAATGTGCTTGCCATCAACAATTTGCAATTTTTTCAGCTATTATTATTTTATGATATTATTTTTTAATATGACGAGGTGGGTTTGGCGACTATTCTCATAATGTCTAATATTTTACCTTTTCAAAATTTACATAGGATTTCCTATGTACCGTGTTCCGATGCACCACACGGTATATCCAACAAAAAATAATCTATTGAATTATACGGAAAAACAACTATCGAGAAAAAATGCATCTGGTTGATAAAGTGATTTTTAAATTCTCTATTTTGTTAAAGCATTACACAAGGCGTTTTAAAGTGGCCAAAATATAATTTTGCTTTCCCTCGTACAATAGACAGTTGGGAACATTATTTTTAATTTAAAAGAGTCTAAAAAGTCAAATAGTTTTGATACAAATTGCTTACACTACAACAAAATACCGATTTGGTCATCAAAACTGCGTGGTCTGGATTTTAACGTGTAAGACAGCGATGTGGACAGTTTAAATAAAAAATCAAATGTATTAAAAAGAGATAAAAGTTAGGTTGACATATTTATTCTATATGGGGTATTGCCGGATTTTGTATCAAAATTTCAAATGGTACAAGTAGGTGTTTACGAAAAGTGTTGCATCTAGGGTTGGAATTTGTGGCTATTTTTCACAATTAGATACTCATTTTACTACAGCTATAATAGATCATTAAACAACTGTCTAACAGAAATGAGCATTATTGAATAGCTTAGATATATTATCTTCGTTTATTGTTTTATTTCTCGTACGAACCGGCAACACTGTATGCCGCTTTTTATTTTGTATCTCTATCTGTTAACTGGTCATATATATTTACTTCTGTCGTATGCATGAAAATACAGCGCACGGAAATAAAGCGACCAGGGCTAATATATTAACTTTAAATTACATTGTAAAATGTCCGTTTTTCGTGCCAGTATAATAGTTATTAGTCAGTATAGTTAGAATGACTTCGTCTTATGTAATAATTGTCTCAAACATGGCTAAATACAGTACATTTTTAGAAGTCCCTGTATTTTGGAAAATTATCCCATAAATCTAAATTAGACCTTTGAAAATCTTATCCCTTCGTTACTCCGAACCCTAACGCACGTCTTAACAGAGATATAAAATTATTTTGTCCGCACGCCACTGTGATAAAAAGAATCGGGCTACGAGAGGGAGGCTACCCTAAATTATCCGCTCGTCACTCAGGCGGCAGCTGCCGCCCGAAAGCGTCCTTTTTACTCAAAGGCGTCCTGAGAATCAGGGGCATGCCCGGAGAAAACGCGCCAGTCAATTGGTCCAACAATATACACTTTCAAAATATTTTTATTGTTATGACTGTTATTTACATTATTTGAATTATTAAATATTGTCGAAATAGCTATAGTTCTATTATCGTTTCGACATAATATTACGATATTCTCAGTAAAAAGTACTAAGCGCGCTAGTAGTTTTCCTAGCAAGAATATGCGAGCTACGAGCTACCATAACTTGCTATCCTTATTATTATGGTATATTAATTCAACTTCATTCTTATGCTCCGAGTCTTTGAGTTATATTCAGCGATTTCAACAATAAGTGATGCAAATACGTCTTTTACATCTTTCTGGTGCAATTTATTTCTCTCTCTAGTTATTCACCACATAGGACACCGAGTATTGTGGCTAAACGATTAGATTTTTTCAAATTGTAAGTTTTGGGTTCGTTGGAGGACTATTAGAGCTACAATTTAAAAATAATTTTACAAGATACAGAGTGTCCCAAATAAGTAAAAAATATCATAGTTGTCTTTTTTTAAATGGAACACCCTATATATTATTCTATTTTTAAATTCTACGATTGAAACAAAGGTAAATTTGATTAAGGTTTATCACACTTAAACCTTACCGTAAAATTGCAGTAAAAAATTTAACGCTTCATTTCTTCAAGTTTTTAATACTAAATGAAGACTAAACGAGAAAAACGGACTACGTCCAAAAAAATGGAAATTGAGATAACACTGCCATCTTATGCCCATCAAGTGTCCGTTCCAAAATAGGAATAATGTAACACTGAAATAATTATCTAAGTCCACTAAAATCAGCGATTAAAATATTAATACTTTGAAAAAGCGATCTAAGTCCACATGAATTCACGGAAGACCGATCCAAGTCCATATTTCATGTTTTTAAACATATCAACGCATACACAACGAATAAAAATAGCTATACGAGTATATTCAGCACCACAACAACTTTATGCTGACCTAATTCGTTTGCCCAAACTCAAGTATGAGCAGTTACAATTTTTGAAAAAGTTCGTAGATGAATCTCTGCAAGACTACTACACAAATTTGCCTTGTGCGTCAAACAATGCTCATCTAAACGATGCAGATATGGTGAGTAATATCAATTAAAGTATATTGTTTTTATTTCTGCCTAAGAAAAGAAGTCAGATTATGTCTATTGTGTCACTAGTTTTAAATTCAAAGAAATTAAATTCTGGAAATGTTCTAGTGGAACCATAAGGGAACTGTCTAGTAGTGTAGTTTCATTTTATCAAAAACAAATCGCCATTCCTAAGTAAAAAATAATCTAATGCTAATAATATTAATAAAAAAATAATAATAAAAATAAGAAATAAATAAAAATATGTTAAGAAAATATAATTAATACAATATTAATAATAAAAATGAGAATAAAAACATATTTTTCTCTTTATTCCAGCAGGAGTAATCCTCGGAGTAACCACATACAGAATTATTCCATATTGACTTGGATCACTTTTCCATTGAACCAAGCCAATACGAGTTTTATTTTATCTAACAAAATTGCTACAAATTATTTTTCTTTGTTTTGTCTGTTAATCAGTTAATGTCTATACATATAACTATTGATAAAAACTTCTTACGATTCACTACATTTTATTATTTCTTTTCCTTTAGTCTTTAAAGTTTCAAAATCATTTATCTCAAAAGTAAGAAAATGTGACTTAGATCGTTTTTCCCCTGTAGTCTTCAAATATTTACTCAAGATTGTTTATTGATCAGATATTGTGTTGCACTAATAAAAAAATATACTACCTTATACAGAGTGTTCAAAAATTGGTATTAAATAGTTACTAGCTTTAAACGGCAATAACTTGTTTAATTTAAATAGAACACCCTATATGTTTTACGTGAATCAGATGCACATTTTAATTGTCTATCAAATTGTATTATACCATTTTTTACCTATCTCTTCATGTTTTCGTAGAAAATTCACTTTCTTATAATTTAGACCTCATTTATCGCTATACCCATGGAATATTGATATTTTAGATTTTTTAAAGCAACATATGTACAAAATGTACAGGTGGTAAAAATAATAATATTGTAAGACCATTTGTTTACAAAAAGAAAAATATTTAAATCTTTGTTAAGAGTATACCAATTAAATATACCATTGTTATTTCCGCCCAAAAATTAGTTAATTACGTACTTAATTGTTTTAATTAATAAAGTATTATTAATAAACTATCTAAATAAATGTGGATTTGACCCAAAAATCAATATAAAGTCTGTTGTTATAAATAAGCCTTCGTCAAAAAATGAAATAAAATTTATAAGGTGTTACTTTTTACCACACTGCCAAATACACATAAAAAAAACAGTTTTTTAGTATTTAGAGCAGTTATTATTAATCAACGTAAACAGTCAATTAATGTAGTTTAAATACTGGGTCATATTAATTGGTCTTCTTTAACCAAAATATTAAAACAGTTTTTTTTTAATTTTTTAATGAAGGAAGCAAACTATATGGACAATATTAGTATCTGTACTGTTTGAAAATTTGTTACATCTTTAAAAATAATCTAAAATGTTAATATTCCATGGGTATCGTGATAAATGAGGTCTAAATTATAAGAAAATGCATTTTCTACGAAAACTTGAAGAGATAGGTAAAAAATGGTATAATACAATTTGATAGACCATTAAATTATACATCTGATTCAAGTAAAATATACATGGTGTTCTATCTAAATTAAAGAAGTTATTGCCATTTAAAGCGAGTAATTATTTAATATAATTTTTTAGACACTCTGTATAATGTAGTATTTTTTTTATTATTGCAACACAATATCTGAGTGATAAATAATCTAAGTGTGATAAACCCTAATCAAATCTACCTTTATTTCAATCGTAGAATCCAAAAATAGAATAATATACATGGCGTTCCATTTAAAAAATTAGAACTATAATATTTTTTACTTATTTGGGATACTCTGTATCTTGTAAAAATATTTTTAAATTGTAGCTCTAATAGTCCTTCAACGAACCCAAAACTTACAATTTGTAAAAATCTAATCGTTTAGCTACAATACTCCGTGTCGTATGTGGTGAACAACCCTGTATACGTATGTAGCTGAATTATTTGACTTTTTAGTATCTCTTTCTAAATTAAAAACGAAAATTCCCATCTGTCAATTCTCATATGTCGAGGGAAAACAACATGAATACAAAATGTTGATATTTTGGTAAAAGTTTCAAACGCCCTGTGGAATATGTTAAGACAGCAAGGAATTTAAATATCATTTTATCTAGGTACATCCTTTGTCGATAGTTTGTCTTTTGGTTGATTTCAATAGCTTGATTTCTATTGGCTCCTGTACTAACATTTTTTCGAAATTTTTACATGAAAACCATGCCTTTGCTTTTGGTGATAGACGTAGGAGGTTTTGAAAATCAGGCCTTCTTGACATAAGATTTGCTTCATTTAATCTTCTTACAGTCCGTTCACTTACATTTATTTTATTTTATTTTATTTCTAGTCGAAACACAAACATTAAAACCCAAAACTAGTGTCCACAGCTTACATATCTAAATACCAATAACAATAATAATAACCAATTTTAAAATTATAATACTTTTTTTCTTAAAATTACTATTTTTTCTATATATATATATATATATATATATATATATATATATATATATATATATATATATATATATATATATATATATATATATATACACAAACTAAGTTAATATCAACACCAATATGTTTAAGATTTAAGCAAAAAGTATGAAATGAAAACACTACGAAATAATACAAGCAAAGGAATCGCGATAAGGAATACAATAATTATATATAAAAAGTAAAAAATTAAATTATAGATATTAAACCATAGAAAAAAGGAATTAACTTATAAATATAAATTTACTATTCAAGAGTATAATATCTGGATATGCTATACACTCACAAATTGTCGTTTTAATGTACATTTTAAGGCAAACAAATTATCAGAAAAAAAATCAAAATCCGTGCAGTAGGAATTGGCAAACTCCAGCATTCTGTTAACTGAGAATTGGCAGCACTATTTGTGTGAGAAAATGTCTTCTTGAAAAGGGAGGTAAATCTTAAATTTTTTGTTGGAACATTAAATGAAATCATAGACAAGAGATAAGGTGAATCGATTTGAAAATTTATTATTTTGTATAATACTGCTACATCAGTAATTATTCTACGATGTTCTAATGTTAATATATTAAATCGGTTGCACATAGATATATAAGAGTCGTTAATATTATTTTTATATCCCAAATATTTAATAAATCTTTTTTGTATCTGCTCTAGCCTATTTATATAAATATGGTACATTGGATTCCAAACTGAGGATGCAAAGTTCAACTGACTGTATACATACACATAATATAAAGAGAGCAAAGCTTTATTGCTGGTGAATTGTCTAGCCTGCCTGTTTATAAATCCCAGCATTCTAATTGCTTTAGAAACAATAGCCTCAATATGCTCGCCAAAAATCATTTTCTCATCAAAGAATACACCTAGATCTAGTGCTTCTTGTTTTCGAGGTAAATCAATGTCACCTAAGCTATAGTTATACACTATCTTATTGTGATTACGACTGGATGAGATCATGAAACATTTTTCCATATTTGAAAAAGATTTTTTCGAACAGTAATTCTTAAAATTGTCCAATTCAGACTGAAATAAAAGCGCATCATTGATGTTACGAATTTTCATAAAAATTCGTAAAAAGTCGTCCGCATATAACAAATAGTTGGAAAAATGAAAACAGCTATAATATCATTAATATAGATAATAATATCATTAACATAGATAATAAATAATAACGGACCTAGGTGACTTCCCTGTGGAACTCCCCATGTAGACTCATACGGGAATGATAAACTCTTAGCCACGGACTCCCGCCAATTTTCCTAACAAAATATTATGATCGACCTTGTCAAAAGCTTTACTGAAGTCAGTATAAACAGAGTCAAGCTGTACACGATCATCCATGCTACTCAATATAAATTGGGCATAGCTGATAAGGTTTGTGTCTGTAGATCTCCCAGAAAAAAAAAACCATGTTGCTCGGGATTTAAAAAATTTTTTACTAAGGAAAATAGATATTTATAGACAACTTTTTCAAAGATTTTAGCAAATATACAAAGTTTAGAAATACCTCTATTATTTTCTACGTTTTTTTTTGTCGCCCGATTTAAAGATTGGTATGACCACGGCATGCTTCCATTCAGCAGGAAAGATGCCTGTAGTAAGCTATTGATTAAACAGCTTGGTAAGAGGAGCACATAGACCTCTAGTGCAGTTTCTAACAAAAACTTCCGATAATTCGCTTTCATCTATATGCAGACAATTCAAACGCGCATACTCGAGTGTGACAGAAACCAAAGCCGAACTATACTTGTATTCATTTAAAACTTCCCAATATGGCGGACTTCAATATGGGAGGCTTAAAAAACGAAAATCTCTAGACTGGAATCGACTGTAGTTCCAATCGTTCAAATTGATAATCTGTGGTAAATCCAATTGAAATCTGACACTTGGCTGACATTGACGTTTACGGTTCCTTTTTCTAAATATTTTCATTATTTTTTGAGTTTTTATTCACAAATTCTACTTGATTTTGCTCTTTTATTTAACCTGCAGTCTGCAGTACTAATTATATAGTTATAAATAATCTTTTCACCGATCAATAACTGGGGAAGAGGCTGGAAGATATTCAAAATGTGTAAAACGCTTAAAAACGTGTTAGAAAACATTGACTCCACAAATTCGTGAAAATAAATTAGTCCAGATGTTTGTAAAAAGGTCTCTAATTATTTTGAGAAGTTTTCTCGTATCTGTAATTTTCAGGTTTATAATATGTATATGATAATAAATAGATTAAAACTTATATTTCAGGAAACAGCGCGGGTATTACAGATTCTTGTAAATCAATTTTAAAATATAAAGAAGGTTTAAAACAGGTTTAAAAGTTGAGTTAGTAGAGAAGACCTAAATGAGGTTATGTTGGTAATGGGACCAAAGATCAAATAACACTTGAAATATATAATATGTACAATAATTGTAAGTAGTTTTTATGAATCTGTTAGATATATATTGCATTGTTTCTGCAATACTATTTCTTGAAATATTATATATTTTTTTACTTTACAGGATACACAAAGAATAATAAAAAATACAGTTACTCACTAAAAGCACTTAAAGTTTGTAATAGATGTAGTTAGCATATCAAACACCAAACCAAACAAAAAATTATGTTTTATTTTACTGGTATGCCTCACATTTGAAAGGAAAGTCATTTCATAAATAAGCAGAAGGACATTGTATAGTACACTCTATATTAATAATTCTTTTTTATCCTATACTTGTTAGTTGACACATTACTTACTAGGTATAAAATTTAGTACTGATTCCAAACCTATAGTTGTGGTTGTGACATATTCTGATGTGTTTCTGGCAATTTAAAATAAGTTAATATTTAAACAAACATTTCTGGCTTTCCTGACGGGATTGTGAACACAAATTTAATAAAGGTATAATGTGAATAATGTTCTGATTATTAGAGTTTGCATGGATGTTTTTGTATGTTATTATTTTTA